GGGGGGGGGGGGGAAGGGTGGTTAATTTGTGTTCTATGAGCATTTGTGCAAAAAATTCTGTTGAAGATATAGATTGGCATTTGATGATTGTAGGCATCTGTGTTTCTGTCTTCGTTTTTCTGTTTATCTCTGGCATTTATGGGTATATGTTCTTTGTTCTTCTCGACTCTGAGTGATTTGGTGCATATGATAAGTTTTGTAAAGAAGATCCAGTGAATTTAGGATTTGATGATTATCCAGAGGTTAAAAATATGAGCTTTTTGGTTTAGATTTTCTCATTGCCTTTTCTTTTCTATCGACAACTTAGTTTACATGTTTTGTTCTCGAGTTTTAGTCTTTTCTCAGAATCAAGGTTTGTTCCTTTTCAGTAAACTGTGTATAGTGATTTTTCTTTAATTATATTATTTTTTTCTTCTGCAAAAAATGGGCACATTAATTGCTTATATGCCAACACATGTCCATGCTGCCTGGAAAATTTACGTTGTGCTTTTGGTTTAGGGTTTACGTAAAGGAAAGTAGTGGATGCTTGTTTATTAAATGTTAAGTCTGCGGAGAAGTTGGATTTTATTTGTTTCTTTATGCGCCGACTTTTTGGGTTTGCAGCAGTTTGATGGGATTCGCGAGTACTATATAAAATCAGATTGGCAGGTTAAATTGGTAAGTCGTTATCCTGCTCAGTAATTATGAACAGTTGATTCCTTTTGTTGCCCTTGGGTAGGGTTGTTTTTCAATGCGACACGATACAATAATTTGCTTCGCCAATGCCACTTGAACTAATATCTATCTGATCACTGGCACAAAAGATCAAGTATTTGTGATTTATCATAAAAATAGCAGAGAAAATGATGGAACCTGCCCGAGACCAGGTTCTATCACCTTGTAGAGTGTCCCGATTACGTAGGCCAGGTTCACTGAAGTGCTACTAAGTAAATATCTAGTCGTGGAGATAGATCACATATTTCAAGAATCTAGATTTGTTTGACTAGTTTGGTGCTTGCACCACATTACTCCAGTCCATTCTTAACCTTTTGTTCTTAACCAAAAACAAAGGGAACAGGAGGTAATTATACTTAATGAATAAAAGAACAAGGGACAAACAAGCACAAAAGGATAAACCATGTGATAACTAAGAATGCAGCCTGAAAGCCCAATAACAATCTGGTTGTTGAACCTATGGATCTATCAACATCTGGAGTGAACAGTCTACTGGTGTCCCTCTGGAAAAATTTTACACTAAAGTGGCAACATTTTTAGCTGGACCTCTTATATATGATACATTTTAGTGAGATCTGAACCTTAAAACCTTCCCCTTGCCATCAGGATTAGAAGATAACGTAAATGTTTTATGCACCATGCAATTAGAAGTAGGAGAGATGGAACTTCCTTTTCAACTTGTTTCTCCTCCATGTATATATTTGTCATGGGAGTCTAAACGATTAGGTTTTTGTCTGTTAATAATTGTTGGAGGCAACCTTGCTATTCTTCTTTTCTTTTATTAGGTAAGCTTGCCCGAATCATAGCCTTTGCAACCGCCTCCAAGTTTTCTATGTATGGTGCTGTTATTGCCTGATTGCCTCAGCCACCAATAATTGTTCAACTTTGGTTGACTTGAGTTGATTACTGTTCTTTTTATTCAACATTTAAAGCAGTAGTTTGTACCTATAGGCTAGAAATTTGAAATGATAAAGGTCATCTGTGAATTGCTTGAATGCTCACCCTATTGTTGATAGGGCATCTTGATCCTACAATCCACATATGCAGATTTGACAATTTTGAGGATGTCTAACTGGTAGTCTGGTCTTTTTGGTTTTCCATTTTGGATTGATGTCGAACTCACCTTACACTTGGTGATAGTTTCACTTTTCAATCTTCAACTAATATTTGACATTTCACTCTTCATGCCAAGTAAAGCTCTACCAATTTGAACTTGAGATGGAGATGTGGGATTAGAAACTTTTCATAGCTGATCAAAGCCAATTTTAACTAGAAAATTATTTACAATTATATCATATCATTTTCTGAAAATTCTTGTCCCTAAAATTCTTGGTGTTTTATTCTAAACATCAGTGATTTTGACGTTGTCACAAATGACAACTGAGCTTTGAGGATGCCCTATCTAGTGAAATTAGCTAAATCATGAAAACAAAGAGTAGAGAGCTTTTACATTATCTTCATGAAAAGAAAAAAATGAATATTTTTAAAAAGTTACTTATTACATAAAATAAGTAATAACCGATGAGCTTATTACATAAGATGCCTTAGATATGCTGTACAAAAATGAGCTTCTCGATGATCAGTTGGTGGTGAAATAAATAACCGACCTTTCTTCTATCAAGTTGATACAGTAATATTTAAGGACATTGAAATGAGCTTCTGGATGATCAGATTAGCCATTTTCTGATACTATAGTTAATGCTTTAAGCTACTGCATATAAGGAATTAGGTTCTTTATAGAGTACATTGAATCAAGTACACATGTTTCCAACTTCTTGATGTGAACTGACTACTTTCTATTTGTGCTCTTTGATAATTTAAGAAATTATTTCTGTTGGAGATCATCTTATACTAGTCGGAATTAAAGCTTTAGTTATTGTTGATACACTTATGTCCAGTGTTTGGCAAGAGTTACCGTTAGAAGCATGTATATCAGTGTTGGGTAGGGATAAGTATGTTGTAATGATATGGACCCCGACAGAATAGAATGGATGTAGAGTATTGGTATAGCCGACCACAACTAGTTCGAGATTGAGGCATGGTTGAATATTGAATTGTGTTATTTTGTTCACCTTGGTATATTTTCAGCTTTTCACCATAACGATGTTATGGTGGAGTCATTAGTTGATCTATTTCATTTCTTATAAGTAGTATTTTTCAGTCACACCTTTCATCTTTTCTAACTTATACTCTGGTCATCTGTATACTACTACGATTTGTAGTTGAAATAGGCATAGTTGAGGATGTTTTGATGGTCAGTCTTTTCCTTTATCTTGTATTTTAAATGCCAACAACATTTTTTATTATGGTATGTCATGAATGTATTATTAGGCTTGGAGGTCCTTTGGTCTTTAAGTAGATTTACTTCTTTAGTTACTACTTCCCTGTACTAGACTAAAAGAATCCAGATGTGGAGATGGTTTCATCTTCTCTACCTGTCTATCGTGTTTTGGTTTGACTTTTGTATCTTTCACTTGCCATTAAATGCAAGATTTGTTCTAACTGCTATAAGGGGCTATCTTTCAGCAGATCAGGCCTTATTAAGTTATTATTATGTATTACCCAAACAAGTCATTTTTTTATGATAAACAGATTAGCCCTTTTGAGAATTGTGGTATCTTCGGTTAAATTGGCGTTACCTTCTTTTTAACTGTTCCTGGAGTTCCCGAATGAGACAAGTTGTATTTGTTTTCCTCAGATTGTTCCATTCCATTAAAGAATTGGCTGGATGGAGAGAGACCATCCAGATATTGCCACCCCTGGAAAGATGGATCAAAATGATCTTCAAGGTTCTAACCCTGACCTCAATAAGGTCAACAGCGAGCCAAATGCTTTGCGTGTTTCTACTTCCCCCGACATCGCGGAGACTCCTACCCAGAAACCTGCGGAAAAGGTTGCTTCTTTAGCAGGGGAACAAGAAAATCAGATCAGAGAGAATGAGGAGAATCATAGTGAAAATGCTCAAAACCAGATGGTGCTTTATGATCCTGCTGTCGCTGCAGCTGGTGAAGTTGAACCTCTCCGTGCTCGGAGAAACTCCTTCCAAAATTATACATCTAGGGTTTTGCCATCTGTAGGGGCATTTACTGTGCAGTGTGCTAGCTGTTTCAAATGGCGGCTCATACCTACAAAGGAGAAGTATGAAGAAATAAGGGAACACATATTGGAGCAGCCCTTCTATTGTGAAACAGCTCGTGAGTGGCGTCCAGAGGTATCGTGTGATGATCCACCTGACATCACTCAAGATGGAAGCAGGCTGTGGGCAATTGATAGACCTAACATTGCTCAGCCTCCTCCAGGGTGGGAACGGCTTTTAAGAATCAGAGCAGAAGGAGGCACCAAGTTTGCTGATGTGTATGTCTTGCATTTCTTTCACTACTCGTTTTACTGTTAATACTAAAATACAAGTNACTGTTAATACTTAAATACAAGTGATGCTTTCCTTTTAAGCTATGAAACTTTGCATCGATGTGCAAAATAAAAGCCGTGGTTCTTTAAATTTTTTTCTTTGTCATGATTTACAGGTACTATGTTTCGCCATCTGGCAAGAGACTTCGTTCCATGGTTGAAGTTCTAAAGTATGTTCAATTTATCAAGTTGATCTGGCTTTGCAGAATGTGTTTCTTTTCCTCATGTCTTCTTGGACTGGTCTAAATTGTTGGCACTGACAATAGGGAATATGTGTTTTCATTTGCATTTCTGTTGTGGGTGTTGTTTAATGCTCTCTCTTCCCAGGCACTTGGAGGAACATCCGGAGTATGTGGCACAAGGTGTACAGACATCACAGTTTTCATTTCAGATCCCAAGACCTCTACAGGAAGACTATGTTAAGAAGCGTCGTCCAGCACCTTCACGTGATGGTCCTTCTGATGGTATGGACGTGTATAAGACATGCTTAAATTAGAAATAAGATCTAGCATTATGATGATGTTTGCATGCAACATGCCTGGAAAAAAACTATGCTTTTACGTGTTATTTGTGCTTGTATCAATTGAATGGTAATAACATTTCTGCTTGGGAAAACTACATGGCTTCCTTTAGGATACCGTTTTACTCTAAATGTGTTCTATGACTCATATATCTGTCTATAATGAATCAACATTCACAAGCGAACGCTTCTAAGATAAGAACTGTTTTGCTAGAATGGTATCATTGGGAATATGACTAAAGATATTTATTCTACCTGGACATCCTAAATGATATGAACTCTTCTGCCAGAATGGTATCATGGGGAACTTCTCTTAGGGTAATAATCTACTTAACATCCTAGAAGGATACCTCACTAGTGGTTCTTTCCTTTCTGCAGTTAGCCTTTATACCTATCAATAAAACATTGATCCATCATTCTACTCTATTTTAGTCTTTGTTGCGTTCTAGCTTGTTGTCTCCTTGCCTATAAACAATACTTTTGTCAACCTTGTAATATTAAAATTGGTTAAGTTGGACCAATTGACTGGTGTGTTGTAAATTTCTAGATTGAAAACCTTGTGACTAAGTTTTGTATATCATGATCTACTTCGGTATATCCTTGATCCATATAAACTGATCACTTTTTATTTGTCCAAATACTGATTTTATCATCCAGTTACTTGAGCTTCTTGGTAGAATTTTCAATTACAACCGGCTCAAAATTCGTGCTCACCACTGACAAGCATATCTATTGTTGTGACAGTTAATCCTATCTCATGGGTCGCTCCAGATGGCAATACAGGTTTACTGCTTGGTGGACCCGGACCGTCTGCACCTTCTGATACAGCCCCTTTAGATGTACTAGACGGTAACGCTCCAAAGAAACCTAAACTGATGGGTGACAGTGATTCAGTTATCTAAGTGAAAGTCGATGATTTTCATCTTCTTTGTTTTGGGGCTTATGATCTCATGAAGTCTATGATGCCCCAAAGCAACTTGTTGTAACTAGGATTATGGTTTTTTGACCAAACTTGTTTGACCAAAAAGCATGGTTTTTTGATGGCTATATGCCGAGGTTTCTGGTTGTTGGTGTAGTTTGAGTGTAGCATGGTTTTTGGTGTAGTTTGAGGAGATATATGAGCAGAATATAGATATACTCTTTAAGACTTTTGTTCTTTGTTAAGTTTAGCTGAAAATGTTATTGTAAGACAGAAAGAATGCTTTTTTGGTTGAAATATAGTAACTTTTTTATGGTATTGCTGGAAATCTGATATTCATGGTTCATTTTGCTTATCACTTGCATCCATTGTGTGATTTTCAAACTCAAACCCCCTTTACATAGCTTTTTCCCCTTTGGTTTTTCGATTTTTAAACTTTTTAGTTTCCTAAACTTTCACCTATATGTCTTTTTGCTTCGTCATTTTTTACAAGAAACAAGAAACAAAAAAGTTAGGTCATGTCTTGGACTATGCCTAGTTTTCAAGGGATATTTTGAATATCAATCACTCAACTATGGTTCAATTCGAAACTAGTTGGAATTTTGTTGGCCATTAACCTACTGCTATCTTCTCTCTTTCTCTATATTTTGCAAAATTTGCATGGGCATGGGAGTTGAGGAAAATCTTGAATAGGAGTGCTAAATTCATTATTATAGGATGTGCTTTCTTAATATATTAAAGCTCATTCCTTTTGCTATCAAAATCTGGTTTAACAATTACCATTCATTAAGAGGCCGCAGCTTTTTCAATTTTGTACACTTTTGACTCTCTTGGCAGAAGATTCAAGTTTCAAATAGGAATAAATACATGTCCTAATATATAGTGGTTGTTCAATCATTTTTCATTCTTAGTGCTAGTGGGGGTGTTTTAAGAAGTTCCAAAGTTGCATTATCTGAATTCTTTCTTTATTTTTCATCTTCTATTCTAACTTGTTTTTCAAGAATTATCCTCCTTTTGTTCCAATTCTAACAGCAATGCTGAAAATAGGTCATACTTCTATCAAACGGTATACCACCACAAAGATAAAAGAGAGCAAAAACAAAGTACATGTTAATTTTGATCTTCAAGTATTTAGCCCTCAAAATACAACCATTTTTGCCATAACAAGAGTCTCAAATTTATCATACTGTTACAATTGTCCAGCGTACAAGAGCAGATAAGAAAAGAGATATGCTTTGTTACATATTCTCATTGTTCCACCTCCACTTCTTCAAAACAATCCGTTATTCACTCCTAACAAGATTAATTAACTAACACATATAAGCCAAAAAGCTAAAACACCCCACAAGACGGGAAAAAAAAAACAAAAACAAGAAGAGAATGCACCAAAGAGTATGTTTGGTTTTAGATGAGCTAGGGCGTCAATGGAAATGCTATCTCATGAGAAATAACTTGTCAGTATTTCTCCTGTATGGCATTTGTCCGGTTTGATGGGGAGCATCGTGTTGCCCCTCCCCAATATAGTCCTAGCTCTTGCTGCTGATATATAAATATATCCACATTCCTTTGACCATAGTAAAACATAGAATGAGGAAACGAAGAATGTGGGAACCCACCAATCATTGTTGCGACGAGCATCAGGGACAACTCCTGTCAAACATAAGAGACTATAGTTGTCTTTATGAAAGGCAAACTCCAAGTAGGACTGTCCGAAAAACAAGTTTTATTGAGCTGCCTTTGAGTTACCAATAAAGAAGTTGCTTTGACCTCCAAACTATACCCAAAAGTGCTGGTTGCAGTACAGGAAAGACGCTGCAGTAGAGGAAAGGCTAAGATCTCAAATGCCGAATGCAGGCTGATCAAACACGAAAGTCACTCGCATTTGCCTTTTGTTATTTATGCCAGGCTTCTTGCTGAAGGTACCTGAAGGATTGCTTAGGTAACACATACAAGAAAAGATGATAGAGAGCAATCAGCTGCTCCAGTAATAACAGCACCCTTGCTCCTGATCTCCAGGAGATAACTCAACGCTTTTTCTGTGATGATCTCACCAGGAATTAGCACTGGAATACCAGGTGGATAAGGACATACAAGCTCTCCACAAATTTCACCGAGGCTATCTCTTATGCTGACTTTACGTTTTTCAGCAAAGAAGGCCTCTCTAGGGCTCATGCTCATTCTAACATCATCAAAGCATGCAAAATGATTTACATTTTTGACTTCATCTTTCAGAGGTTGATGAAGGTGAGAAGTTTTTGATAGATGCTTTACACCGGCTACAAGCCTAAGAACATGATCCCTTTGAGTCCCCAAGTTAAACGCCAAAGTAAAGGATTTGGTCCCTACAAGTTCACAAACAACACCAAAATCTTTGCACAATATATCATCAGCTTCAAAACCTGAAAGACCTAACTGCCATACACCAATGGTGAATCTCAATGGGTCGATATGAAAAAAACTAGAAAATCCTGGAAACTCAAGGACTGAGATTCCAGGAATTTTACTAATCAAGCTCTTCGCTTCCAGAGCCAAGTCTATTGTTTGATAAAAAATAGCCTCTCTATTTTCACTTATTTGGGCCCTGGCAGCATCCAGAGATGCTAAAAGCAGATAATTTGGGCTGCTACTTTGAAGCATTTGCAGGCTTCTGCTGATTCTTTCTCTATCCACAAGATTTCCTTGCATGTGCAACATTGATGATTGTGTAAGCGCACACAAAACTTTGTGAGTAGACTGTACGGAAAGATCAGCTCCCTGACTCAGGGATGAGCTAGGCAGCTTCAAATGAAATCCTAAGTGAGCGCCATGAGCCTCATCGACAATTACAGGTATACTGTGAGAATGACAGATCTCACAGATCTCATCCAAGTTGCTGCATATACCGTGATAGGTAGGGGAAACAACCAAAACAGCAGCTGCTTTTCGGCCCTCCATTTCTAGCTCTTTGATTGCCTTGTGCACCTACATATCAAGAACTTCACCATTTCATGGGTACAAGTTAAAGTCTTTTTTTTAAAAAAAAAAATGAAAAAGAAAATCCATATAAATTATTGCATCTTGATGTTATACTTGCCTGTGATGGAGTGATGCCACCAGCGACATCCCAGTTGAAATCATATTCAGGGACGATGTACTTTGGGAGTGTACCAGACAATACCATGGAAGATATGGCTGAGATATGAGAATTCCGTGGTAGAATAAGAGTATCTCCAGGTGAACAAGTTGCCATAATGGCGGCCTGAATTCCACATGTACTACCACCAACAAGGAACCATGTTTCTGATGCTCCAAAAAGCCTTGCCGCTTGTTTTTGTGCTTCTAAAATGGGACCTTCTGGAGAAAAGAGATTGTCAAGCTCTGGAAGCTCAGGCAAATCATGTAAAAACGGTTTTGAACCAATGAGCTGAGTCAACGATGATGGTGCTGCTTTCCCTCTGTTATGGCCAGGAAAATGAAAACTTGCAGCATTTTCTTCAGCTGAAGCTTTTAAAGCACTAACAAGTGGAGGCAGCTCATTTTGACTGGCTGCAGCATTTGGAGCACAAGAAATTTCTGTTGAAGGAACTCCATTATATCCTACAGAGCTTGTACAGTTCTTGATTTTCCCGAGCATTATGCCATTCCTTTCCTGCAATACATGTTTGACTAATAACTGCTGTAGGTTTTGTTTGTCAATGTTGAAAATGAAAACTTATCTGTCAAACAGCAAAGAATAACTCTCTAACTATCAAAAGGGAAAAAAACACAAACAAACAACATTATTCTTTTAATTTCTATATTAGTTATATGTTGGAGAGAAGAGTGTGTGTGTGGGTGTTTTGTTTTTTGGAGGGGGGGGAAGAGATTATCTTGACAAATGGTATAGAATCAAATGAGATGTTCACATAGTTGTGGCAAACTTTCTTTTACCAAATCTTAATACAAGACTTTCTAATGCATCGAACTTTTATAAATGTCTCAAAAGCGAACGTCAGCTCGTGCTCCAAAGAACTAACTTATTAATACGAAAACCTTAAGAAAGAAGAACTTGTCTGATGGTGAAAATTAATAGCTAAATTGGTTATTTGTTCCATCTTCTTCACTTGGGCAACCCCACTCTCTTTGACGATATTAGTTTTTGAGCAAAACTTGCTTCAGTCACTAAATAAACCTACAAGCTCACTATCAAAAACCACTTAACTATCTACATCCACAAAATATTTGACAAAAATGGTAACTGAGCAAATGCATACAGCATAAAAGCACAATTATACCTGCATGCATAATTCTTTTTCTTCTGAAAATGCTGCAATCACTATTGTTTATTGATCTCGAGTTGTTCACCAACAAAACTAAACCACTAGCTAATAGGAACACTGTTATGATATACGAAAAATACAGGGACCAACACGATAGGAAGAACATTGATAACGTCTCTCGAAAGCCCTCGAAAGACCTAAGCAATTTAAACATAGGAAGACAAACAGCAATACAGAATCTGAAGATACCTATACCTACAGTAAATTGATAAGAATCTCCCCAAATGAAATCTAATATTTAATGTAATAAATTCCATATAATCCTATTGACCCATCAACTGAAATACAAAATTGAAAACTTTCAACTACATTTTACTCAATGAAAAGCAATAACAGAAAGAAACATCAACAATAGAAAGAGCAAACTAGCTTAGTACCACAAGCCCTAAGCTATATATGTCAATTCCCTAGATCAAACTAACACGAAATATATAATTTTGCTTTAATTAGATAGTCAATTCTGGCCAAAGATCTACTTAGCTTAATAACTAAAAATGTAGCAAATTTTCAAAAAGGTCAATATATCCAAGTTGAAACCAAATTTCCAGTTCACCACTAAAATCAACTGTCCTTCACTTTCGTTCTTTGTTCTTTTTTTTTTTTTTTTTTTTTTTTTTTTTGTGATGAAGGTTAACTGTACTCCATATAAATGCTATTTTATCATATATAGAATTCTGAAACAGCATAAAGCACAAAACTTCAGCTCAATTTCATAGTTTCTTTTCGTACCATCTAGACAAGGGATGTAACGAAATTCAAAACATTTACCAGTAATACTAAAAAGGATTGATTTTTTCGAAACCCTACTTGAGAAATGCAAGATTTTGGTCTTCTAAAAGGCCTGCAACTCCATTTCCTGCAAAAATTCCCAGCAAAACTCTGCCATTAAAGCAAGAAAAAAGGGTTAAAACATGCAATGGAAATATCAGCTCAACTAAGTTCTTTCCTTTTTTTTTCCTTATCATTTTTGTTCTGTTTGCAAATTTTTTGGTTGAGCAGTCAAATTTAGATTCAATACCATATCCAGATTTGCAGAAGACATTGTTGGCTTGTTGAGTATGGTATTGAGAAACGACTATGAATTATCCTCTGTGTTTCATTCTATTCGGGCCATTAGCACTCCCGGCAGTGCACAAATAGCCGTTTTTTACCCCTATTTAAAAAACAGCCGAAGTTTATAAAAGTTTAAAAGTTTACCCATCTCTGGCAGTATAAAGTTTTTCTCCCCATATTGGCCACCATGTTGTTCTTTTCTTACTGCGTTTCATATTCTTTCTCCATTTCTTTGGGTTTAACTTTAAAGTTGTATGCATGGAAGTATAAAAGATATTTGTATAATAAGTCATTTATAAAATAATTATAGCTGAACTTTTAATAAATATTAAATGGTAATCTAGTAAATGAGAATTAATATGTTATTACAAGTTAAATTATACTGATAGTATAAAAAATTATATATTGTCAGTGTATACAATTTAAAGCAATTAGTGGAACGTTTGTTCCTTACTTTTCAGTTTGTCTTTGTCAAGAAGTAGAAACTAGAAAATGTTGTGTAACAATTTTGTCTAGAAAAATGCAGTTACATGTTATATATAGCATTAATTGAGGTGACGAGATTTAAACTAGATAAACAACACAAGTACACCTTCTCTATTTTTTCTAGTAAGTTATATGAATTCTTATTGTTCATTTCGTTCCATTTTATTCATCCTAGTGCAATCATAAAAATTTAGTTTCTCTAACACGAGAATTGAATTCCTTTTGGTGCTTCAACTTAATTATAGATAGAAAGAGTTTAAGACATTCTTAATTATTTGATGCTATCTAATTACTCCGATCCAGTGTCATATTTATTGTCACCACTGAAAGAAAGGAAAGAAACCAAATATGAAAAGGAATAAGTTGTACAATTGAACTCTTCCATATTCGAATACAGTGGCTATTTCAAAACCTAAAAACCTAAACTAGCCATTTCAATCTCCCCCTTGCACACTAAGGATGCTTTTTATTGTATAACTATAAGTTGTTCGATCGAGCGTTCGAACATAGAAACGTAGATTATGAAATAATTCAAGTAAAAATTTGAAATTGTTGGTCACCGACATAGTAATGAGTATGGTATCATCGAACAAGTTACCCGATTCAGAACATGTTGAACCTCGTTGAAAAGGAAAGCGGGTCCTACCACATTCATCATGGTTTGATCCTCTTCGGTCACAAAAGGACCAAAGGTAACTAGCAATCCCCACAGGGGGAGAGAAAATTCGGGCATCCTCCGGGACGGAGAACACTATCTTCCGCTTACGATCGGGATTAACACTCGGGGCGGGGAATCGGTCCACCAGTTTTGGAACGGATGAAGACCCGTTAGATCCCGACCATGATGCTTTCTTCGGTATCGGTAATCCACCGAACCCGATAATCTCCTCCGAGGCAGCTGACTCGAGTCCATCCAGAAAGCCGTGGATATCAGTTGACTCTTGAATACCCTCGTAAGGTTGACCTTCCAACATGTTGGCCTCACGGATCATAGCATCCGAAATCTGAGGGGATCCGCTAATGTAGATTATCCCCAGCTCGTCCCTCGAGATATCTTCTAATGCTTGAGAAGTCTTCCCCTCGGTCTCCCCTTCAACCATCTCAGCTCAAGACGGGATAGTCTCCTCGGCTTTTCCTTGTTCAGGAATTATGGCCAGGGTTCCCTTATCTACCTCTGCCGATTCATAGGATTGTTGTATCACAACATTAGCACGTATACAGGCTATTTCCTCTTCTCCTTCTTCGGGCTCATCCCTTAATCTGCGGATCGAGTCCGCAGGTATGATACCGTAGCCCCCTTGGGCTTGCGAGATTTCTTCGCCGGCTTTTTCTTTTCCGAGACCGGGGAAATCAGTGCATCTTTTCTCTTCTTCTCTTTAACCTGCTTCGGGGCAGGGACCTCTTCATCACCAGATAGGGGCCTCATGGCAATATCCTTCTCAAGTACTGCAAAGGGAAGGGGGGAGGGGGAGCAAGTGAAGAAGAACAAATGACAAACAAACTAAGAAAGAGACTTACCATGACTACAAGCCTCCCATTGACCCTTTGATAGTTCCACCCAAACGCACTCGGAGTACGGTCTCTGCAGCACCACACCTCCAACCTATTGTTTAAGACCCGGAATTGGTTCCGGCATCCGAGCCAGAACTGTAACAAGAAAGAAAAAGTGGATCAAAAAAATGAAAGGCAGTCACAAATTATAACGCTCGAAGGGAAATAAGTACTCATAGTTCATATTCCATTTCTCAAGAAACGGCATATCATCGGTAGGGATCAGGTCCGAGGTTTTGACTCGAACAAATCGGCCCATCCAACCTCGATCATGAGTTTCGTCTATACTTGAGAACGACGCTTTGGTGGCTCGGCGAGTAAGCTTGATTAACCCTCCTTGATAGAGTCGGGGACTATAAAGGCGCATAAGGTGATTGAGGGTAAAAAGACACCCCTTGATTTTGCTTCAGAAGAATCAAAAAAGAATTATTATTCTCCAAAAAGAAGGGTGAATTTGGCCAAGGGTCACATCGTATCTCTTGCAAAAGGCGACGATGACAGGGTCTAATGAACCCAACATGAAAGGATAAGTATAAACACTTAAGAACCCTTCCACGTGGGTAGTAATTGATTCTTCAGGCGATGGAACTACCACGTGCTTGTCGCCCCAATTGCATTCCTGTTTTACTTTATCGAGAATTTTCTCGGTGATTGAACACTTGTACCTCGAGATCGGCTCACATCGGCCCGGTACCGAAGAAGGTTTTTCAACCTTAAAATCAATGACAATTGAGCACCTTACCGGAACGAATTCCTCAGGGCGAGGCTCCGCCGCATCCTCGTCGCCGGCGAGTCGTGATGAAGAAACGACCTGTTTTTGCGGCACCGTTTTGGAGGTTTTCGCCATTGATGAACAAAGGGAACAAGAATTAGGGTTGTATGCGATATAAAATGTGTGAAGCAAAGGGAATTTTTAAAGAAGATGCAAGAGTAGAGAAAAAGCTTTTGAGGGAAAAGTTTGGATGAGGATGAAAGTGTGAATATTTATAGCCTGGTGATGGCGGTTCAGAACCGGTAGTGGCCGACCAACGACTGACATGCATTTAATGCCTTGGTAACTAGACCGACGGGACGTTTGTTACATACGTCATAATCAGGCTCGTCGTTGACATCATCATCCACCAAGTTGGAGTCCGAAAATTCATATCGTTTCTCGTCATCTTCTTTTCGAGAAACGGGGGGACTATCTGTATACAGTCAAAATCGAGTTTTGCCCTTCGTATGATTAATCGAGATTGGAACATGATGGTCTGATGTTCATCATTGTTATATCTTATAGGATCGTTTCATTCAAAGAATAATTATGCAGAGATCATAAATGTACTGCATATATTATTTTTGAGGTAAATGTGAATATTATTGTACTTTCCCTTTATTGACATAAAAAATAATTGCTTAAAAATCACAAACAACCACAGAGGCAAGTAGAGGATCAGCAGCCCCTTTAAGAAAAGCTCCTTGGTCCCTAACTTGTATGAGATAATCCACAGCCCTCTTTGTGATGACTTCGCCTGGAATTAAGACTGGAATACCTGGTGGGAAAGGGCAAATAAATTCTCCACAAACTTCCCCAATGCTTTCTTCAAAAATCACTATCTTTTTCCTAGCAAAAAAGGCTTCTCTTGGTGTACAAGTCATGTAAACTTCTCCAAATGGTACCCCTTCTATACCATTATCATCTATTATTTTCCTCTTCATTTTTATCTCTCTTAAGAAGTTGGTCGATAAGTACTTCAATCCTTTAACTAGTCTTTTACTATGTTCTTTAGTAGTTCCAAGGCTAACGGCCAATGTAAAAGATTTAGTTCCAATTAGTTCTGGCTCAATTCCATGGCTTGTTGACAATATGTCATATGCTTGGAACCCTGAAAGGCCAAGTTGTTGTGTACCAATTGTCATTCTCAAAGGGTCTATGGAAGAAAAATTATTGGAAAAGCTTGAAAGATCCAAAAGTGAGATTCCAGGAATGTGGATAATTACTTCTTTCACTTCTTGGACTAATTCCATTACTTCATTGAAAAGGGTGTTTGGATTTTTACTTAGTTCATCCCTAGTTGCATCCAAAGATGCTAGGAGAAGCCAATTTGGACTAGTGGTTTGTAATGACTGAAGACATTTGTGCACTCTATCCCTATCTATTCGATTTCCGGATAAATGTAGCATTGAGGATTGTGAAAATGAGCATAATACTTTGTGTGTTGATTGTATGACAAGATCTGCTCCTTGAGAAAGTGCAGTTTTAGGCATGTTAGGGTGAAATTTGAAATGAGCACCATGAGCTTCATCTACAATTAGAGGAATTCCATGAAAATGGCATATTTGCGAAATTTCAGACAAGTTGCTGCATACTCCATTGTAAGTTGGTGATGTAACAAAAACTGCAGCTGCCCTTTTGCCTTCCTTTTCCGATTCTTGAATAGCCATCTTTACCTGATAAATATATGACAATAACAAATATGAAGTGCGTTTATGTCAACATCACTTGAAATATAAAATTTCACTTTAGTTTAATGTGCCTGGGCCTTGGGTATCTTTCCCTATTCATGTCATTGTGTTTTCACTACATGCACAATTAATTTTCTGTCTTCTAAATAGCAAGCTGTCGCATTAAATACCTAGAGCCAAAGTGGAGGTTAAAGTACATTATGATAATCTTTAAGCAACTGCACACTTAAAAATAATGTTTGAAGATTAACAATATAAGCAGTTAAAATAAATTACTAATAATATTTAACTTATATATGTGGAGATTACTAAGATATTGTTTGCCTATCAGTGAATTTTAACGTGTGAATGTTTAATATAATGTTAATTATTATTTTTTACCAGAATATCAATATATTTATTATAGAGATTTACCTTTTAATTTTATTTTATTGATAGAATATAAATTTTTTAAGAAAAGGTTAAACTTTTATACATTAATATGGTAAAAGAACTTTTACATTAACTATTAGGTCACCAAAAAAATAACTATTATAATAAGTGTGATGGTAAAGTAAAAAGGGAAATTTTTTTTAGGCAATACACATGTTAAAACAAACCACTAACAGTATAAAATTTCTGCATAATAAAGCCAACAACCTACTATATTAGGTTAAAACATGCTAAAGGACAGTCCAGTGCACTAACTTTCCGTTATGCACGGGGTCCAGAGAAGAGCCGGACCATAAAAGTTTATTGTACACAACTTTATTGTACATTTATGCAAGAGACTGTTTCTACGGCTCGAACCCATGGCCTCCTCATCATATGACAACAACTTTACCAGTTACGACAAGACTCCCCTTCCTAGGTTAAAACATACTAAAGGTATTAAAAACAATTACATTGCTAGTTTATATATACAAGTTAGATACTTGATAACAGAAAATACTCAAGATGATCGAGGAGAGGAATATAGAATTAATTAATTACCTGTGAAGGGGTAACACCACCAGCAATATCCCATTCAAGGTTATGTTCAGGAACAATATACCTTGGAATAGCACCACAGAGCACCATAGCAGAAGTGGCTGAAACATGTGAGTTTCTTGCAAGAATTAATGTATCACCTGGTGAACAAGCAGACATAATTGCTGCTAAAATCCCACAAGTTGTGCCACAAACTAAGAACCATGTCTCAGTTGCACCAAAGAGCTCAGCAGCTTGATTTTGTGCATCTAATAAAGGTCCAGTTGGATAACCGAATTTATCAAGCTCTGGAAGTTCAGTTGCATCATAAAGAAATGGTGCGATACTGATAATATCGACTAGTGAAGATGGTGCAGCTACACCTCTTTTGTGACCTGGAAAATGGAAAGGAGTTGCATTTTTCTCTACTGAAATTTTTATGGCATTTACTAAAGGTGGGAGTTCTGATTTTTGCTGATTGTGTTCTTGGGAATGATGAATCAGAGTTTCAGTTTGATCAAACAAGGCCCTTCTGCTCTGATCCATGATCAAACTATCATGTTCCTGTGAAATGTTGTAGTTAAGATAATTAAGCTTATAGAATACTCATAGCTAGTACTCATAGCTAATTAATAATCATCACAGTTGCGGATGCTCTTGCAAAACATGGGGTTCAATGGAGGATCAACCTATAGCTAACATATTTTCTTCGGTCCAAGAAATGCCAGAAAAAGGAAGGGGAGCTTACCAAATGGATATATGTTAGATGCCTAATTTTAGAGTTAGGCATACAAAAATCCATCAACACTCATCCACCAACTAATTTTGTATATGTCAAAAGTTCTCTACCCTACTTTAAATTAAAGATTGTAATACACATTCAAAAGTAAAAAAATGTACAAACTTGATGTCTAAGGCTTCACATTCAAAAGCAAAAAATGTACAAATTTGATGTGTAAGGCTTAATCATATGTGTATATGATACTATTCTATTATAGGTCACCGTAGAGCAATAATTATAATCAAATAAGAAAGAGAAGTTGGGGAACATAAATCATTCATCGAGTGTATAATGGGACGGATAACTCTAGACTTAAAATATATGTCTTACTTCTTGAAGTGTTAATCTTATAATGTTTCTTTTATAACGCGATAATATGTTCAGCTTCCATTGGCCTCAACTATTCACCAGATTCCTATTATCTCCTACCCGCATAAGTATCAAATAGCGTTGTCCTTCCAAAATTTAGACAGACGAAAAGAATATTATACAAAAAGTTTAACCTTATATGGTCGTTGTAGAACGTCCAAACGACTTCCTCGCTAAAGCAAATCCCCTACTAGGACACCAAGTTTGATTATACAATGGTGGTTTTTGATTTTAAAAAAAAATCATCAATAGGGGAATCACCTAACTCTATCCCTCTTTAAAATAATCAAACTTGGCTGCCATGATACAGTTTGAACGAGAAAAGACTATCTGAAAGACATATCCAAATTTCTACTATAGCTGGGCTGAGCCAGCCCCCTAATTCTACTATAAGGATTTCCTACTACTTTTTTCCCATTTAAAGAAAATAAGCGTTGAATAATAAAACACAATTTCTTCTCGAATATATTTTCCTGTCTTTCGGACCCAAAATCATAAACAAATGGAGAATTAAAAGAGAGAAAATGGTAATCGACCAGTTGCTCAGGAGTGGCTCTTCTTGCTATGGATGGACTGACAAAAGTTAATCCAAAACCCTGCTAAAACAAAATATGAATAAGCATAAAGAAAGTACATGTAGTCTGCGTGCATGCAATTATAAAACATGAATCTATGAAAAAGTTTGCATCAATATTCTGCAACTTTATTAGACAAAGTCAACATATTTTCCACATTTTTCTTATTTTTTACTTTTAGCAAAATCATGCAATAATGAACTCCCCGTACATGGAAATAATGATCTCTATTTGGAAACAATAAAATACTTACATTTTTTGGAAATGGAGAAGCTACTTGTAGAAACATTCTTATATACTGTTCAGGATTCGTTCGTTTTCTTTACTGAAAAATACCAAAATGAAAAGATGAATGATTTGGGATGCAGAAACCTTAGTGTATTTATTACCTGCAGGGAGTGGATCTATTATTGATATTTCGTATTCAAATAAGAAGGAACACATGTATCATGTTAAATTAAATCATGTCACACCGCTTGCAATGTGGACATATAAACCACAAGCTAAGTCTAACGTGTTTCTTGTTTCTTCTTCTTCTTCTTCTTCTTATTATTATTATTATTATTTTTGTTTTTGGTAAATAAGCTTTCTATTTATCTGAATAAACTATACAGGTATGACATCATCCTAAAGTTGGACATGTAGCCCCAACTTTAGCGTGCATCTATAGCCTCTTCTAGCTACTAAATCTAAACATTTAGAAAGCTTTACTTTGTATCCTGTAGCTAATTGCACAAGTGTTTCTTATTAAATTAAATTGATTTTTAAGGAGAAAAGTTTTTGCTAGCTACTCCGCCCTACTTGTCATTTTTTGCTTATTAATTTGACTATTATTGATCAATTATTGATATTTCCTATTCAAATAAGAATGAACACATGTATCTATGTTAAATTAAATCGTCTCACACCACTTGCAATGTGGCCATATAAACCACAAGCTAAGTCTAACCTGTGTCTTCTTCTTCTTCTTCTTCTTCTTCTTATTATTATTATTATTATTATTATTATTATTGGTAAATAAGCTTTCTATTTATCTGAATAAACTGTACAGGTATGTCATCATCCTAAAGTTAGACATGCAGCCCCAACTTTAGCGTGCATCTATAGCCTCTTCTACTAAATCTAAACATTTAGAAAGCTTAACTACTTAGTATCCTGTAGCTAATTGCACAAGTCTAATGTGTTTCTTACTAAATTAAATTGATATTTTCAAGTAGAAACGTTTTTGCTAGCTATTCCGCCCTACTTGTCATTTTTTGCTTATTAATTTGACTAATATTTGAAGTTAAATTGGATTAGATTAACTTATTATTTTGATATTAAAATTTAAATATTTAAAAACTATACAAAAGGTATTGTAATTTACAACTCTTCGGATCATATCAATATGGTTTAAAAATATACATGTTAAAAAGTTGGTCAGAGTTCATGTTAGTTAAATATCAAGATGCGAAAAGTGATAAATATTTTGAGACGAAGCGAATAGTACTCTATTCCCTCCTGTTCAAAAAGAGTGTCCACTTAGCTTCTTTTCTTGGTTCAAAAAGAGTGTACACTTATCAAATCAAGAAAGAATTAACCTTATTTTTTCAGATTTGCCCTTATTAAGTGTCAAGTGACCAAATCTCAATACATATTTAATTAGGGATAGTTTAATTAGTCAAAATACCTATTTTTATCTAGGAGTTATTATTTTTTAAGGGGGTGTGCAAATGATTAAGTGGTTCACTCTTTTTGAACGAGAGGGAGTAATACATAATTCCGCATATCTAAGCTAATTAAATAAATACGATTGACTCTTAAGTAGAAGTTGTAAACTAACATTAATTAGTTTGACCGTCATAAAAATACCAATGCATCCCAATTAACGTAATGAAATTGATATCTGATGTAATATTACATTATTTTCACATATACAATCGCCTTAAAGGAAACTATCTAGTATATCCAAAGCATTAGTTGAATAAAAATAATACTTTTTTTTTTTTTTTTTTT